ACATGGACCTGCTACTCGGACAACAACGTTATACATGGACCTGCTACTCGGACAACAACGTTACACATGGACCTGCTACTCGGACAACAACGTTACACATGGACCTGCTACTCGGACAACAACGTTACACATGGACCTGCTACTCGGACAACAACGTTACACATGGACCTACTATTTTATGACTATAAAATGCATCAACTTCATTACTTACCATCTCTTAAAACAATGGCCATAACTATGAATCTGCACCTCTTCAGTCACTGTCCTCGTTAGATCAGACAAATTTCCAAACATAAGTTATCTATCTAGATTTTCACTTCCTAAAACATTTAAACAGTTTCTATCTTTATTCACATCAGTTGACACGCGTGTATAGCTCACTGGAAAAGCAACTTTCATGGTGTTAGCCAGATTTATAAACCTACCTTCAATAACGCACTTCACCGGAAGAGGAATTTTCACAAAGACGTGTTGCATGTAAGACTTAATCTTATCCAAGTGTTTCTTGCAGAAGTGCTGGATGGCATCTCTCATTGGAGAAGGTTCGAATACTGAAATACGCTAAATAAAGGAGACTTAAAAATTGTAATAAATTAATGAAATAAATAATAAAAATTAATAAACATTAACACAACTCACTGGTTAAAAGTTGTCGTTTTTTTTTTTCTTTATTATCTGTACACCTTTAACAATATCAAAGACAAAATAAATGATTTAGGTTACTTTCACAGACCTAGAACGCTAAAATTTAGCACAAAAATAGTGGTTTACAATTCATATTAGGTGTCTAACTTAACAGCACATAACACCTGTTACTAATATGGGGCACAAACCTAGCTTCCGATGAAAACGTATTGATCTTGTACGATTAGTAGCTAACGAGAGACCTTGTTTAGTAGTAGTTATAGTCTATGTAAATGTTTATTTTGGAGATAGAATGATCACCAGTGAAAAAACAGTTAAAACAGTATTGCATTAAGATATTAATTCAAATAGCAAAAATTTATTTTCAAATTATGTTGAAAGTTGATGAGACAGAGCTTGAAATGATGATGTACCAAACCTCAAGGAACACAGCATTAATATTTACAATTGTTGAAACTGACACTTTCATCTTATGAGTTTGTTGGGTTGGTTTTGAATTTTGCGCTAAAGCTACACGAGGGCTATCTGCACTAGCAATCCCTAAGTTAGTAGTGACATACTAGAGGGAAGGCACTTAAGTAAATACCAACAACCACCAACTCTAGAGCTACTATTTAACTAACAAATGGTGGGATTGACTGTCACTTATTACACACTCACGGCTGAAAGGGTGAGCATATTCGGTAACGGAGATTGGAACCCGCGACCCACAGGTTGCGAGTCGAGCACCCTAACCACGAGGCCATGCCGGGTCTTGTTGAGTTGGAAAACAGAATCTATATGTACGAGTCTACACTGAACTAAAGATTGTCTTATAAACTTGGTTAATTTTCAGTAGATATTGATAGTCAAAACTTTCTATCTTAGAAGATTAATCGGTGAATTCATGATCCCTAATTAATTCATGTTTAGGTAGATATTTAGGATTACTACCCCTTCACACATACAAACTGTTCCCTTTAACTTTTATAAACAGTTTACAAGAAAATTTTGTCTCTTGTTTTCAATTTGGTGAAAGACGTTATAAACCAGACGTTATATACCTCATCAGAAAAGACAAACTGGCAATAGAAGCAGAACACTCAAACTTTTGGTGAGTCTTTCCCACTAGATCAATTTACTTCGACCTTAATCAAGAAAATAGACACTCAAGTCTAATGCCATTCATTTAATATAAAACAAAACCAATACGCCTGATAACAATTTCTGGCATTACCCGAGTATGAAAGGAAACCAATACGTCTGGTAATTCTTGGCAAGACCCGGGTATAGAAAAAATCCAACAAATCTGGTAATTTCTGGAAGGACCTGAATAAAAACAATAAGAATTCTAACATGGCTTAAAGATAGGAGGAAGCCAACAAACCTGATGGCAGTCCCAAGCAAGACCTGATTCACAGAACAAAGCTAACATGATCTGAGCATGAAAGGAAACCAAGAAGTCTGACAAAAATTCCATGGATAATTACTTACCTGAAGAAAAAAAATTAAGTTTAATGAAAAAACAAATAATGAATGCTGAATATGAGAGACCTACTTTCCATCAAGCTCAGGAGGAGAACCACCATGACGGAATTAAACGTATAAAAAGTAGCCAGACAGACAACATCACGAAAGAATGGGAAAAAAATGGGTGTTTAACATTTTATTTTGTGGTTTATCTGGTTGATAAATTTCCCTGTTTGAAAATTCATGTACAAGAATTTCCTTTATGCACCTAATTACTGAAAACTGATTACCGCAACAAGAATAGTGTTTTCTAACTTTCAATTTTTCTTGACATGCTTTGCTTTTAGAGACATGATTCTGTAATTTTTCACCTTTACACAAAATATTTTAGTTTGATAGGTTGCTGATTAATAACTTTTACATTTGACAATTTTTCAAAAACAAATAAATAAGTTCACATTCTACAGTTAAACTCAAGTTATCTCCTTTCAGCTTACATCTCGTTTATATTGCTTTTTTTAATTCTTACTTTTTTAAGTTACACACACACCTGCGTTCCAGAAGGTGACCGATTTCCCGAGTTTGTGATAACTGTTACACTAGTAGAACTATTTCTTGTTTTGAGTGTCTTGGAGTACATGCTGCCACTTGAGGGTGATGTTGTACTAGATGGAGAGGAGGGCTCTGGGCTGCCACCGATGGAATGTGATGTTGCTGCGAAATGACTTGTCGCAGAAGTAGCAGATGAGCAATGACTTGGATGGAATGATGGAGTTTCGCCAGTGGAATCACTTTTAACAGTGGAACTTGTTATGGATACGGTCATTTTGCTGTGGCTTTCTTCCTCAAGAACTGGAATGCTACCACTGATTTAAATATAGAAATAATCGCACTACAATGGATGAATAAAAATCGTATTTATCTATCTAACCGCAAGCAGTCTGACATAACAAAAACGGCTACTGCATTGAACGAGATACTGCTGTGAACATTTAATCACCAAAATTAAAACTTTAAAAAGTCCTGTTTGCTGTTAAGCACAAAGTTATACAATGGACTTTTTTTATCCCATGCCCACCACGAGTATCGAAACCTAGTTTTTCCTATCAAGAAAGCCTGCATACTTACTGCTGAGCCACTGGTGGAGGTCATGGAAGTTCTGTTCAACGTGGTTGCAGTAGTGAAGACCGAGCCTTCTCGACATGTACTGCAAAACTATTTTTAAAACATCATAACATAGGCCTAGCTCTCACGATTGTATGACAGGTATAGCTTGCTAACAGATGCAGAAATTAAAAAACAGTCCGGCATGGTAACTACGAGGTAAATATAATTTAATTATAAGAAGTTGAAATTATCAATTTGTACAAAAGTCACACGATTATCAAAGTATGACTTCTATAACAGCATATTTCTAAGTGACAGTATGTTATTCGTTAACCTAAAACTTTCCTGTTTGTTATTCTGCTCACTCGGAGAAGGTAAAAATTCAGCTTAGATTTTTTTAAATGAAATGTTTGCACAGAAAAAAAGAGAGAGAGATATATAGAACACTCGAAGGCCTGTATTTTCAGTGAACCATAAGCAATTATTAGTTTACATTTTTTTCAGCACTTTCTGTACTAAATTACCTTGTTTGAAAAAAAATTCCAAAAATGTACTTATTTTTACAAAATGCATTTCAGATTTCTTCAACATCACAAAACCAAATTAAAAAATAGAGGACTACATAAATATATATTTCTACAAACGTAACGTTTATTATAAACAATGTTTTTGTCAGTAAAGGACATCATCTGGTACAGGCAAAACCCAATG